TAATAATAATAATAATAATAATAATAATAATAATAATAATAATAATAATAATAATAATAATAATAATACTAATAATAATAATAATAACAATAATAACAATAATAATAATAATAATGTATCACTGGAGTGGAAATGAGCCTGGGTGTGACAGTGCTCCCCCTTTCGGTCGCTTTTATTCACTTTGCAATTGATCATGACGGACTTCTCTATCAGGAGAAATTAAATTAGATAATTCTTATTGTATTATTTCTAATGGCGTCATACTCCAAGTTATTGGTGACAAGAGTCATAGAAAGATAATAAAAAACGTGAAAACTAAATATATCGATTAATTAATAATTATTAATAATTTCTTTTTATTCGTAATGAGATCGCTGGATGATCCTCGAAGGCTCCGACCTCATCTCAAAGACCACCCAGCAAGCTAAACCAAACGAACAATTCCTGGTCGCTTTGCAGTCGTGCTCCTTCCAACCAGAGGGGGAGCACTACTGCAGTCCGGAATCATGATATTTAAGTAGTCGAAGGGACCCGAGGATGACAGTCTTTTGCGTCTGGCCACCCAACATTGGCATTGTGCCTGTAGGCTGGAATCTCCTCAAGCGCCGATACAAAAGACCGTTGCATACCGTCGAGAGAACCGATGATCGGGACGATCAGCCTGACCCTAAACCTGCGATTGGACTGATGTACCTCAAAACAAGAGAAGCCGTTTCTTTTCTTCCTTCTTACATATATTGCTGTCAGCTGAAACTTTGTATTCAACGTCGAAAAGGACTATGTCGAGCTTCCTCGCAGCGACGACCATGATAGTCGTAAACAATAAGTTCCAGAAAATGTTACACCTCTCATTCACGACAACGGGCTAAATATCTCCTGAAGCATAAGACAGAGTCGGCGTCTGGTCTATCCCATAAGAGTGCCGCCGATAGTAATACAACACCCGCGAGGTCGCATCATGACGGTGGATATAACTCGTAACTGTATATGTCGGGTAAGCCGACAGAAGATGCAGCAGAGTTTTTGGGAACTGTTTGCAAGCCCGACACCTATCATCCGGAACGTGCAACCCCATAGCACGGCTCCAATAGACCAGGGTGTATATTACGCCATCCTGACACGCAAATGAAGCTCTCCGTATCATACATCAAGCCAGTCGACTTAAAAAATGCCGTGCTTTTCTGTCAAGGCTCGTCTCGGCACCTCATTCGTATGACGGATAGGTTGCTCCCGCTGAGGCTCGATGCGTCTCACAGAAATTTGCGAGAAACGATCACCCGACAGTCGTCGCGGAACGACGAGCAAGTCATAGCCCTGCCGACGCAAACGACTGGCCTAATCTGGAAGATGCTGTACAGTAAACTATGCACACTCGGGATGCATAACACACCACAACTGCCGCATTCACGCCATCTATTGCATGAGGTCCTCTTTGAGTTCTTTTGGCCATATAATGCTAAGGACAGCCAAGTTGTTGCCATTGTTGAATCCAGACTGTTCGCCCCTCCCAATTGATCCACGGTCCCCATCCGAAAGGGATTGGTTCCGGAGGGCACTGCCGCGATTCCGTTGTGGGGCCAGGTATTATAAGCTACGGGTGATTAATCCATAACTGATACGGCTGTTGCTGCAGAATAGGTTGCCATCCTGCCGGGCGATGGGTACGCCACCTTCCCTAGGCCTTTATCATTATCATTTCTGAGTTGTTCGCTACGATTTCTCCAATTCCAATTTTTTCAGTGTGAGATTGTTATAGAGTAGTCAAGTCCTTTGTGTAAAATTTTAAGAGTAGACCTTTATTAGAAACAAAAAAATTAGGGTTTTTTCATTTTCTTCAACAAATAAAAATACTCCCCGGAATTGAACGAAACTAATTTAATTGAAAGCTGCATGAAAACATACAAAATACTTTTTTTGGCTTTCTCTTTTAAATTGCACCTTAAAGCCAAAACGAATTGTCTGAAATTTCTGGAAATTTTCTAACTCTGGAATTTCCCTCACGATGACATACGACTCGTAGAGTATAATAGAGGCAACAATCGACCTTGTTCTCTAGGTGCAGAGGTAATTTATGGGACAAAGCAGAGGTAGTTCCAAATGAAAAAAGAAATATTGTCTGGACATTTGTGAAATTATTTCGGGTAGATGTGAAGATCTAACGCAACAAAAATATTAGACCGAATTTTCGGACCAGCGATCGTGATTGCTGTGTTCGTCATGTTGATGGGAAGGATTCAGTACTGCCAAGGGTTCCTGCTAATCATGATAAGTGAATTAGATGTTATTCAGGTCAATAGTCAGTGTAACGCGGTACAGTAAGAAAATTACGAAATGGCAATTAAATTCTTACGCGATCACCAAGGTTTCCATTGTAGGATGAAGTACCCTGTGTGTAATCGTATTACACCAATCAATGATGCAAGAAGCAGGGTCAGGTGTACGAAGAGCTCACTCAGCTTTTCTTATGGCAACCACAAAAAAATTAAGGGAGTAAAGTGTGACACTGAACTCAACCTGCATGGTCCCCCATCGCATGAAATTCACATCCCTGGGGCTACAGCCATGCGATGTATGCCTCTTACTAAATCCTCAAAAACAAAAATTCCTAGAATTCGAAATTGGATTATCATGAGAAATCGTGATGAACTGATCCGACTTTGTAAAAGAACTTCTGATGAACCGGTGTGGGGACCACGCTACCATGTTGGGAGGCCCCAATAAAATCAGGGAAATGGATGAGACTAAAGTGTGCCATAAGAAGTATCACTGAGGATGTATAATTGAAGAGCAATGGCAGTTTGGTGCGAGAGAAAAGCTCTCCTCACCATCATTGTAAAAAATTGAACAGTAGGATCACTTGAAGAGCTTCATCGGATGGAGGTCCTCGAGGAGTGAATTTACCGGGCACAACCGTCATCTCCGACCAGTAGAGGGCATATGCTAATCTGAATAACGAAGGTTTCCATCACCTGACTCTAAACCACTCAATCCATGTAGCGGATGCAGTGGATAATGACCATACAAAAATATATTATATAAATATTATTTGAAATTCCAAAATTCACAAATAAAACCACTGGAGGAAGGGCAGTGGTATGTTTATACTTGTATTATCCATTCAATGACGAAGAGACAACTGGATTTGTGGCCTCAGGTAAACCAACTATCTATGTCCGATCGATAAATATCAATACCACTTTGTGTTGTCCTTTGTATTTAATTGTACGAACATGTGTTGCCTTTGGGGCTTAAATACCACCACGTCCCCAGAGTAGCCTTGTGTAACGCAAAAAGCGACATAGAACGCAAAACCGTATCCCAAGAGTATAAAGGAATTACAAAAATATCGAACCAAATGTTACCTTTGTTATTGAAACATAACACCTCACTACATATCGTAGAAAATTGGAAGTTCGCTTGGGTCTTTTGGGCAGTCAAAGGAGTTTGCAAACAACCAGCAATGAAAATAGACCAGCAATGTGTATATGTATACCATTTTGCGTATACTTCATCATGAAAGTTCAGTGAATCAACGTTATCAGACTCAGTATCACTGCATTTGAAGTTCTCAATCTAGTTAGAAGCGTAGAAAGCGTAAGAAGCGAATTAGCAGATACCTTCCAATGATTACTAATTCAATCTAGGGAGGACTACATCGGCGTTCAAATGATCGAAGTGACATCTCTGGATTTTTAAGAGCCTTACAACTATAGAAACGATAACAAGTGAAGATAGAGAAACCGAACCACATCCTGCAGAATCATCTCGCAGGTGTTGGAACGATGGAAAACCTACAGATTTTGAATATGAGAAAAAAGTAGTTAATCTTTTGAGAAGTGCCAAGACGAAGAAAAATTTTTGTAAGAACGCTGTGGCACATCGATTTAAGAAGGTGAAATCGAAACGATAATTAAAGAAGGAACATATATGAAGCGATTGTAAGGCATTTTCGAGTACACATTGAAAAATGTTCTGGATGCAAACCCAATTGTTCGCAATACGGATTTGTGAGAGAGGGCTCGACAAGCTATGACAGAAAGTGGATTCAAAGCCGATCCTTTTAAAACTTCGTCATTGTGGCTAGACCATTTCAAGAAGGCACGTCATATCCCTTTTAAAAAAAAGCATGTAACGTTTTTTGTCAGCTTTTTTTGGCGCTATGCATATCAAAATATATCTATATAATATGATATATATATATAATATATACATATATAAATAATATATATAATAACATATATATATAAATTATATTAATTTGTTTTTATATAAATTTTTAGACTTTTTTCTATCTTCTTTTTGAAATTCTATATATGTATATATTACATTGGAAATATATAAATATATATATATTCCAATGATAACACCCCATACGTGGACGATTTGGCGCGCATAGCGCGCCATATACGCTAGTGTAATAAGATTAATACATTTTTTAGGCAAAAAACTTTACATAGTAATTTAATTAGAACGTCCCGCATGTTACCAGCCTGGTTAGCAGACGATGGGTCGACTCACTGACCAGCTCAAGCGTGGCAAACTCATTGTGCTCATCACAGAGCGCTTTGATCATTGCTTTCTCTTTCAGCTCAACTCCTGGATTATATTAACAACTTCTGATTTGCTGATGGCGGGAGAAAATCTTGGAAATCTAACCTACTGCTCACCAACCGGCACTCACACACTCACACACCGCTCATCTCTCATCTCAAATTACCAAGGGTTACCCTTGACACTTGAGGAACCACATGATAGGTAGCTCTGCATTGTTATGCTCTTTCAAATTGGGTCATGTGACCCCTTGAATTAGAGCACCTGCCACATCGTGGTTTACTTATCGCTGTCATTTACATATCAACGGTTTTACAGTGTATACGCGTTTTTCA